GTTATATATTGAACACAATTATTTATACTTATGCAGTTGCATAACATTGAAATAAAAATTCAGCATGAAACTGTTGTGTTAGCATTTTTTTCTTGAACTGCTTTCACTGCTGAACTATAAGGCACATCTCTGCTGTACTCAGAGGCTGGAAGTTTTGGTGTTTTTTGGGACCAGCTCAGTGTACCCTTTAAGTCACATACTGGTGGAGGGTTTTGCATGCAGTTTGGTCTGGGGGCAGGGGAGATGTGCATGGCGAGTATATCCATGTGTCAGGCTGTCTGGATCCTCTGCTCAGCTGTTGGATAGGTAAGTGTGGTGTGGTGCTGGATGACATAGCCTGACTGCTGGCTTCTGTGGGCAGCAGCCTGTAATGTGACATTTAAATTCTTTCTGCAAAACACATAACATCATTTGTTCTATAGGAGCTGCATATGTTAAAATACACACTTTTTTACTGTTCTGCCACTCCTAACTCTGCAGAGCTGCCCAGCAGTTGGCAGCGTCCACATTTTATTATTGCTTTGTTTTGTCTGTATTTTTCTTCTGTACAGAACTAAGTGCAACAGTGTTACAGCATCACATTGGCTGCTTTTCTCTCTGTCTGAAACATAGAAGTGAGGAGAAGCTGCAGTTCACACCCAAATTTTCTAGTTTACTGCAGCCCACCAGAAGGCAGATAGCCTTGAAAATCGAGTGTGCTGATGGGGGGTGGTGGGATGAGGAGAGAAGAGCAGGATTCAGGAGCTGAGGGAAAGGAAGTTGTAAGAGTTGTGGGCTGACTGTCTCATGCCTCTGCCAGCAGTGCTGGCCCTGGCTGTGGACAGCACAGGTGTCTCTGCCAGGGGAGGCATAGAAACCTGCATGCCCAGAGTGTTGTGGGCCAGAGGGAAAGGGGTGGTGTATGGAGTTTGTGTGAAGGGGGGAGTTGAGAGAGATGGGTTATCAGTTATATCTGGCATGGGCTGTCACCTTCATTTTTTCACCTCCTCTAGGATGGAAATGTTTCCATGGTGTGAAGGGGAATGCAAGCTGCCTTCTTCAGCACTGATGTCAGTTTGCTAAACGCCCTTAAGCCCCTTATTGTATGTAGTCTTACCTAAACTGCAAGACTTCACAGGGACATCCAGCTTGATTTGGATCAAAACTGAGACGGCAGATCAGAAGGAAAAGATCACAGGACGGGAAGATACTAGAGGGTGTATGGATGCATGTCCCACTGCGTACCTTGAGTTAGCAACAGTTTTTCTTTCCATTGACTGTATCTGTAGTACAGTAGTTGATTAGAACTGACCAGATCAATCTTCCATGTACCTGCCAAGGTTGCATTTGGATGGAGTATAGGAATCACGGAATGGTTTGGGCTGGAAGGAACCTTAAAGTTTCAGCTGCCATGGGTAGGAAGCAATGCTAAAGGTTATAATTCAAGAGGTAAAATCTGGGAGCATCGGGGGAACTGAGAAGATTGCAGAGTAAGAAGACAGTAGTGGTGTAATTGTGTTCTAGTACACATCAGGCCCTAAGAAGTGCAGATCTGAAGGAGAAGAGAATGTCCAAGGGATTTAGTAGGGAAAGATGTCTTCTGCTACTGGGGGAGAAGAATTTCCATTGTTTTTGTCTGATAAGGGAGGTATAGTATATATATAGTATGTTTGAGAAGGGACCTCGCCTGTTCTTTTTCCAGGTATAGACAAGACCAGTGAATGAGAGGGTTCTTAAAAGATGTTCCATTGACATCAGGATTTTTTTGAAGTCAACATATGTAGAAATGGGCCCACTCAACCATCTTGTTCAGAGTAAGATGGCCCTTCAAAAATTGACTTGCATCTTAATTGAGAGACCTTGCTTAAGCACAGTTAAGGAAATAAGAACTTGGCCCTGAGTTTTAGTTTGTCCTGGTGAAATAAAGGTGAGTGGTTACCAGTCTGTGAAATAATGAAGATATGCTCAAGTTCCTTCTCTTTGTAAAAACTGATAAATTCTGTATTGTGGTGTTGAGCTGTGCTGTGACTGTCAGGGATGTGTAGTCCAGGAGCTAGGGTGGTGGTAAGCTAAATCTTGTTAGGCACCATTCACTTCAGACAGTTCTCTTGTTCTCTCTGTGTGCTGGCTTCATAGCTATATTTGAAAAAAGTGAGAGATAAAAGGCAACTGGAAGCCAAAAGAGGGATCACATCAGAGCTTGAGTAGGTACATAATTCTGTAAGAAAAAAAATTATTGCCTCTTTCTATATATATCCTTAGTAAGTAATCCCAGAAGACTAAGTCTTTGAATTTAACAAAGTCTTCATACATAATCTGGACATTTTAGTGTATAATATCCAGAGATAAGTTTTCTTTCAGAAAAAGGAAAGGCTCTGTATTTAGGGTTTGTGTATCCTGAAATATACAGCATATGCCATTCAGCATTGTTTGCACAGTGTCTTATGAATGGCATTTTTGCAGGCAAATAGAGCAAAAATGACATGTAAAGAAAAAGAGTAAAATTAGAACACCTGAATATATGGTCATCTAAAACAGGTTGTGAGGGGAGCAAGAGATGGATTTCAAGAAAATGTTAATATTCTGTGTGCAAATATGTATGGCGTAGGGAACACATTTTACCTCCTCAAACATCTGAATTTTAGATGTCTACACTTGAGTCTACACCATGACACAGGATAGCATTTCAGAAACTCGTGGTGGTTAAATCCTGTGGTGTTCTCTCCATACTAAAGGGGCATTTCAAAATACCTTTCAGCTCAATATTACATTTTCCCTCCAGTCACTACTTCAGGTGGATCTCCCACAATTAATAGCTGATACTTGCAGAATTTTTTTGTGCCCTTGGAGTGTGCTGTGCTCCCTTTTGATGTCAGTATTTGTCTAACACCTTCCCGAACCCACAATCTCAAGAGGGAAACAATGGAAGAAGCAAGTCTTTCTTGGGTGGAACACACACTGGCAATCATGCCGGGTTTTTAAGATATTGGAGGTTGCTCCAAATCCAATTAAACCAATTGGATTTGCAGAGTGAGAGGAAAATGCACCTTGAACCTTGATCCCTGCCTTGCTCGCAAGGTCAGGTCAGGGTGTGCTCAGCTCAGGCAACAGGGTTTGCTTAGGGACATTTCTCCTGGAGCTGAGCCCTTGCAGAAGGGCAGGAACCCAAGCAGCTTCAGTGCTGGGCAGCTGGAGCACAGCACCTGCCCATTGCTTCAGGAAGAGTCTTCAGCAGCCACACGAACAGGGAACATGGACCAGCTATACAGAAAGGCAGCATTTTACTATGCCAAATCTTGGAGTATGTGTAGGCAACTGGAGAAAGAACAGCAAACACCTCTCGCTGCCTGTCTTTGAGCAGCACACGGCTATGGAGGCAGGAGGAGGAGAAGCTGGGGGATAGGGCAGAGATGTATTTGATGTGAAGGCATCTGAAAGCTGCAAAAATACATGTTTCATGAGTCTGATCTGCTAGCAAATGATAAAAGAGGCTTTTCAAATGAGAGGTATTTCTTACTGGAGAAGATCAATCAGGGGTTCTTGTCAGCAGTATCATCAGAAATGAGCAAAATGGCTTTCTAGTCCAGCAGGAATCTTTGAAATTTTATCTAGTCAGCATGTAAGAGAGGCAAATGTTGAGGAAATGCCTTCAGACAGCAGCTGAAGCTGACTGTGGAGTCCTGCATGGGAAGTATTGAGAGCTGGCCTTCCACATCTCAGAGAGCAGCTGCAGCTCCAGCCTAACACAGCAGGGAGTGGTACTGGGCAAGCCTGCCCGTGGTGTGTGCTCCAGGAGGCAGGAAGGTCCTACCACCAGGAAAGTTGTGTCTATCCATCAGGGTAAGCCTGTTCTTAAAGTAAACATAAATTACTTTGTGCTGATACAGGGCAGATGAGTAGGCCTGACAAGCTCCCATTAGATCCTTGGTCCAATGCACATACTCTGCCTTACTCTGGGTTTATTCACGTGTGAGGCAGAAAAAGCAATTTGGTTTTGTATAAATAATAGGTCTTTATTACTGCCTAGCTGTTGCATATCCATTTGAAGCAGGGATCATTGTCCCTGAATTCACTCCAGGGACACATAGCAGAAGCAACATGAAGTAGCTGCTGACACCAGGAGCACCTATGGGATGAGGCTGTCCAGTGCACTGCTCCCTTTGCAGCCTCTGGTCTCACCTGGGCTGTGGCTGAAAGGAACTCCAGGCTGACAAAGGAATGGCTCCTACCTGTCAGCATTGAGGGGTTTTGCCCTGTGCAAGCAAGCAGAGTATTGGACCTACAGATTAGACCTACAAATCTACAATTCTATGGCTAAAAATCATTCTGTCTTTACTTACTGTGGAGTTTAGAAAAGAGCACAGGAGCAGGGCCTGCCCCAAGCTGAAAGATGGGTAGACAGAATTTCAATTGCCAGGAATTCTCTAAGGATCAAAAGTATTTTAAAGAAGTATTTTTTTTTTTAATCACAGAGGTGATACATGATGTTTCTACCAGTCCTGCAGGCATGTCTTATGTGACTATAAATCTGGCCTTTAGAGGTTTTGTATTTGTATTTTTTGGTTTTTTGTTATTTTTAGCAGAGTGGGGTACACTATTGCCGGCTCTTATGAAACATTGCTTTTCAAAGGAATTTGATAGAGGGTGGAATTTGGTTGGTTGGGGTTTTTTTTTGTTTGTTTGTTTGGTTGAGTTTTGATTGGGTTATTTGGTTTCATTTTGGTTTGGTGCTTTTTTTTTCCCCCTCCTTTCTGGGAGTGCTGGTGGCTAAGTTTTCTTTTTTTAAAGAGAAAGATGTTTGTATTTTGGCTGTTGGGTTTTCCAAGTGCATTAGCCACAGTCCTGGTATAACAAGGCTACCACTGAGTTGAATTGGGATTTCTCTAAAAGATATATAAAATTCATGTCATAATTTATTTTTTCAATTATAATTTTTCTCATTATTTTTCTAAAAGCTTTAATACAGATAGAGAGGATAGTTAAGAAAATACATGTCACAAATGAAAACAGTGAGATGTCTTTCAACTTAGTACAGTTGCTGTAGATATTTTCTGTGTCCCCATCCTAGACTTACAGTGAGCATCCCAAATGAAGATTGCACTACAGGATAAAACAGCCCGGACAACTGCAATTATTCCTGATGTGTCCTTCCCACAGGAGAGTGAGATGGTGGCCAGCTGAACCCAGCTAGTAATTTGGGTTCAGAACGTCTTGTTCCTTCAAAGTCTTAAATTTTATCCAGCTGTTGCTGGTACGAGATGATTAAATCAATCTTAGAGCAGGTGCAGTCCAGAAGGTTGTAGTTTAAATGGATTATGCAGTGGCCATCTAGGGGTACTAGCTGACCACCTGGTACAACTTGGGTCATGTTATGGGCACAATTGAGATAGATACTCTTGAGATTAGGAAATGCATTGTGCTGAACGCAGTAAATTTGTTGTAACTCAGATCAACATGCTGTAACTTCCTGAGATTGTGAAATTCTTGGTTACCTATTGCTGTCAGTTCACATGATGATAATATTCGCACCTCTAAATTGGATAGTTGTTGGAGCAGTTTGTCCTTTGGCATGACCTCCAACTCAAAGTTATTTTGACTAAGGTCAAAGAACATGAGGCTTGAAAGAGATACTGAATGCTAGTATTAATGGTAGTGGGATAAGGAAAGATTTAGCACTTGCTGGACATTCAGATTTTGGAAAGGGCTCTGTGAAGTGTTGATATGGAGAGGAGTGAAGGGCAAGTCTAGAAGCTCTAGGCTAGCACTGCTGTAAACGAACATGTCCTGGAGATGGAGGTGTGTGGCTTACATTCAGGTAACAAAGTCTGCCCACAGCTCTCAGTGCTTTCCTAGAGCAGTCAGAACATTCAATGTGATTGCCTTAAATGCAGACATTGAAGCTTTGCCAGTTTCTTCAAACAGCCAGAACCTGGCTGCAGCACCTGTGAGTTACCCTTGATGTGGAGGTGGGTGAGGGAGGGGAAGGCAGCAGGGCTGGTGCTGCAGAGGTATTCAAAGCAGCTTGCATTGAGAACCATCTCCTCTAGCAAGCTCATGCCACGGGGCAGTGCCTGGATGTGGGTTTGGGTTAGGTCCAGCTTTTGGAGCCTGTTTAAGCACTGAAATGTGTCAGCATTTAGATTTTTGAAGTGCCATAACTGCAGATATAGATCCTTGGCTGAGATACTACAGATGTAAAACATCTGGACATATGTAGGTTCCTTTTCCACACTGCAAAATGTTCCCAACTGAAGGGTCTGGGCTGTGGAGTTCTGTATCCCCATCAGCACCCCAGGGATGTCAGCACAGCCCAGCAAGCCCAAACTGTAGAAATGGGACTGAAAAGATCCAGGTTCAATATTTGTAATGTCATTGCCTTTAAGGATGAGAGTTACATTGCTGGTCTTCTACAGAGCTTGGACATCATCTGCTGTGATTGCTTGCATGTTGTTGATTTGAAAATGGAGGCTTTGAGGTTTCGAGTGGGGAAGTTGTGAGGAAGCTGCAGTGAAGAGATGTGGTTTCTGCCCAAGATGAAGATACCTAAGCCATCAATATGTGACACTGCAATAAAGAACATACTTGTTATTCCTGTGTGTGTCAACATGCTCCAGGGAATGTAGGCTAGCAAATGCTGTGTCAGACAGAAACATGAGCAGGTTTCTGGTCAGCATGACTGGCTTCAGCTGCCTCTTGCTGTGAAAGGCACTGTCATACGCCCAGCTGATCTGACACCTTGAGAAAACAATAGAAAACTGCATCAGTGGCCTGTCTCACAAACTCTCCTGGTAATCTGATTACACAAACTGCACCTCATATCTGTAAAAATCCAAGATCTGTTGTCATCACTAGGGTAAAAGTGTCTGTCTTTTTCAGTGATGCTTGCCTGGTACTTTTAGGTTCATATTTAATTACAGAGTTCTGCTGAGAAGAAAAACCTGTCCTGAAATGATGGATGTGAAGAGGCATGTGTGGGAGTCAGGGGACCTGATGTATTTAATGTCTAACTTAATAGGAAAATCTCTTTTCCTATAAAAAAGCCAGTAACTTCCAAGGATCAAACATGTCTTTTTCCAGTTTTTAGGGAACAATATTGAAAATTAATAAAAATTTGCTGTCACTACTGCCTTAGAGGTGGTAATATCTGGAAATGCATATTTCACCCAGTGAACTGTAAATAATTCTCCCTAGAGGAGAAGCTGAGATATTGCCCAAGTGGATCAGTCTCTGTTTAGCAAAAAAATTCACCAGCTGTCTGAAGGTGCTGAGGGTGGTTTCCTTGTGAAGGCAGGAAGATCCTGATGTGGTGGGCTCCAGAAGTCTCTGTCTCTGACAGGGACAGGGGGGTTCATGATTGTGACGAGCATAAGTGAGGATGCTCCTTCCATACCTTGTTAAGTCCAGGTACAGAAGAAGATTCAGGTCAGAGAAGATTGGATTCTGGAGGGAAGGGATCACATTGAAGCTGAAATTGAAGATTTCTGTTGTGACAAGTAGTCACAGGAACCTCTCTCAGTCTTAAACCTTCCCAGCTCTAGCTCTTATTTCCTGTAGTCTCTGGAAAATACACAGTGAAACTGAAATAGTTATGTACTGTGAATATAAATAGGAAAACATGGCACTTGGAAAATCCCTCCTCCCCTACCCCAAACTAACACAACCTACAAAATAACCCAAAGAGAATTTTAAATTATTTAAAGTGCAGCAGCCAAAACCCTAGGAAGGCTCAACACAGACTTGCAATGCATAGCCCTGGGGTTTCGGGGAGTGTATTTTTAAAATGAATGCTTTGAATCTCTCTTGTATAAATCTGAAGTGTCTCACCTGCTGTACTTTCTTATCAAAGTTAGCACATATGAGGATTGTTTACTCCTCTGGATGAATTATTAATCCTTAAGAAAGGATCCTCGACGGGTAGTTTTAAATTGTGAATGTCACGAGTCTTGTAACAAAACTTATTCTAAGAGAAGTCTTAAGTAAACCTTACAGAGAGGAAGTAAAAAGGAGCAGGTCTGGAAAATGTTTCTAGAAGGAATGTGGCCAAATTAATTGGATATGAATTCAGTTACACACTGCAGTCAGGAGACAGCAGGAATGTTTAGCTCAGACTAGACAAAGATCATGCCTGATATGCTAAGTCTTCAAAATGTCTACAGAGGCTTTTCAGTTTTAAGTGAAAATAAATCTATTTATTACATAGAGAAGTCAATTCTGTGGATACCAGGGAAATGCGTTGAGCATGCTTGACCTGCCTTTGCCTACTGATTGCAGTCAACCAGAGCCAGGTTACTGCTGCCCTGAGACAGCCTGCCACACTGCCTCCTTCACACCCACATCCCCTCCCAAAGGATACAGCAATGTCCTGTCCTGAGTGGTCCCAGGACCAGCCTGGGAGGCCTGGGGCACCCTGGGCTGTGGCTCTGGAAATTCCCTGCCATGTAACCTGGCAGATGTTGATCTTGTGGGGAAGTAAACACGTGTATGGCACAGCTGGCCAACATGAGCACCTTAATGACACAAAGCTATTGTGCTAGTGGATGAGAGCAGGGCAGTAGCTGTGTGTCCAGAGAAGAATGCCCTGGAGCCCGTGAGGTGTAGAGGATGGTGCAGGTGTGTGCCCTGTGGGTGGGAGCCTGTGGGGTTTGTCCAGGTGCAGGTGTGTGGGGAGCAGTGCCGTGAGTATCTGAGGCTAAACCACGTCTCTGCCAGTCTCTGGCTTAGAAGAGGCAGGTGGGCTGTGTCCGCACTCAGTAGCCTCAGGAGAAGGGGAAGAGAAGTAGTGTTTGTTGCAAACCACAATCTGGGTTTGGCAAACGTTTTCTTCCCTTTCCTTTAAGCACAAATCCTGTAGCTGAAGGGTGCTGGGGAATGCCGGGGGAGCAACGTGGGCCTCCACGGCTGCAGACACTGCAGGGGCAGAGAGATGCCAGCAGTGTGGTGGAGGGGGAGGAAGTGGAGAGGGGCTGCCACCACAGAATTCCCCATCTGGGTGGGTGTCAGCGAATGACACAGAAGGAAATGTACTCACACTCAGTGACTCCGAAGAACCAAGCAGAATAAGAAGCACTTTATTTACACTTCATGTCTATTTATAGAATTCCAACAGTGACCATGGATGGGCCAGTGAGGATACTACCTCCTGACCCCATAGGTCCCAGCAACACTCCATCGGTTCTCTCTTCCTCCAAAGAGGAATGCAAAACACTCATTGTTTACAAGAACAGCGTGTGAGAAACTAAAAATTATCTGTCAACCATCAGAAGGCTGAACACAAGGGCAGCAGGTGGGGAGCACATCTCCTCGACTGTCCAGCTCCCTCTGGCATGCTGGGTCTCAGCTGGAGTTCGGTGCCAGGCAGGCAACACCAGGGGACAGCATCAGCAGGGAGGGATGACCCAGTGCTGCCCATGGCTGAGCCCCCCACATGGTGCTGGGCATGACCTGGGGGCACAGCCAGCCCCACCTGTGATGGCACAGGCTCCAGCCCAGAAGCACTGATACAGGTATCTACAAAAATGACAAAACATGGACCTAGAAAAGGTGATGCTTTCAATACTGGTAAGCAAAGGAGAACCTGTGGAGCTAACTGCTGCCATGTGTAGTTTAGACAGATAAAAATAATTTAACTGCCACTGTAAATGAGAAGAGTGCTTATGTTTTGCCATTCAAATAAAACAGTGGGTAAGTAAGCTCTCTCCATATGCTTCAGGGTGTGGAGTGGGTCTCACAGTGAACTGAGGAGAAACTATCCCTAAGGGGATCCTGTCGTGCTTTTGTAGATTTAATTCAATGAGGAATTTGCTATTAGCCCCGGGTGTGCATTTCATAGGGCTGCTTTTCCATTGTGCCTCTTCCCTGAATCAAATACCTTGCTTTTTCTTTTTTTTTTTTTTTCTGTTGTCTCCCACTTGGAATAGAAAAAAGTAGATAGAAGAAAAAAAGAGAAGAAAAGCCAAGATAAAAGAAAGTATTAAAGAAAAAGCTTATTTAGTCATTCTTTTCTCCTGGCCCTGAAAAAGTCCTGGTACTTTCTTACTACTCTCATGTGGTATAGCACATGAACCAAATAGGAAATAGAGACATTGTGATACCCCTCCCACTGTGTACAAATTCATGTATGAAGAGCATAATACAAGAGGTAAAATTCTTATACCTCTCCTCTGTCATATCTGTCCATACCTGTCATACCATCTCTCATACCTGTTAAACACCCCTGGGAAATTCACCATCCTTCAAGCTCTCTGTGGGATGTAGACTGCTGGTTTGATGGGCTCCCAAAGTTCCCATTAGAGGTGGGAGAGGCTGTGAGAGTGCACAGGTGTGAGGAGGGACAGTGGCTGATGTCCCTAAGCATATACTGAGACACCTGTCCCATTCCTCCAATTAAGACCTTCAGATTCCCCTGAGATAAATCCCGTGGGAACCGTAAGCATCCAGACATTAGCAGGCCAGCCTTCACCCCAGGTGTCTGCAGCTCCTGCCCATGGAGAGGGATGGTGGCTGTCACTCCACTCCTCGCACATCATCCCTGTGATGCTGGGGGCCCTGAGCTGGCACAGGTGAGTGCTGCGAAAATCAGGAGAATAAATCAGAGGCCATTGTGGAGAGATGAGGGTTACTGCTCTGGATGATCTGGTGCTGTCTTTGAATGAACGTGAGGCTGAGCAGAGAGGTCAGACCAACGGGGGGAGTTGGCCGGAAAACAGGTTGCAAGAAAAACATGCTGAACTCGGTGTGAGCAAAACAGTGGTTTCAGAACGAAACAGGAACTTGCCTGCTTTAAATATAGTCAGATTACTGTGCGTTGATGCTTTTCTGAGGCAGAACAGATTTTTGAAAAGTGGAAACTGAGGAAAATTGGTCTTCATGTTCATGTGGACTGGAATGTCTGTGCTAAATACAGGATAATGCAGATGAGACTGTAGAACACTACCAGAGAGGAATTTAATGTAATGGGAAATTTGAGTTGAACAAAATTTGATTTATCACTTAAGAAAGGCACAAAATCCTGTACACCAGCTGACAGAGCTCTTCTTTAGGGGCTGGTGTTAGTGGTGGACTTGGTAATATTAGTTTTACAGTGGACTCAATGATCTTACAGGTCTTTTCCAGCCTAAACTATTCTACAGCTTCAAGATCTCTGCCGACACTTTTGCAAATAGATTGTGTTGCTGGTGCACAGTGCTGATGCACAGACTATTGCAGCACAAACAGTAAAGCTAGAAAGCAATACTTCAATCTGAAAATTAAGTTTTCTTCTTGTATTTAGGTTACAGAGATTGATCCCTTTTTTGAAGGAGACCATATTTCTAACCATCCCTAAGCCGAGTGCATGTGCAGCAGCTGCAGGCAGGAGGGGATCCATTGCCACCCAGACAGAGGGGTCAGGTCCCGACTGCCCAGGGCCGTGCTGAGCACTGACTGCAGCCAAACAGCTTGACCTGTCTTTTTCCTTCCCTTCCTTAAAAGACTGAGTTATTAGCTTGACAGCTTTGTTGCCTTAAGTGGCACTCCTTCTTCATCACCTAGGAGAAAAAGGCATGAGGAAAACTTACTGGACCAGAAAATGTGTCTCAGCCCGACAGAGCCAGTCCAGATCCCCTACCCAGTCGGGGAAGCTTCAAGTGATCAAGGTGCCATTCGGGGTGCAGCAAGGTCAGCACCCAGGAAGATGAAGACACCTGAACTTCTCTGGTGCCAAGGATATGCACAGAATCAGTGCCTTCAGCTCTGAAGCAGTGTATGAAGGCCACAGCTGTGCTGGTAGCTGGAGCTGATTTCAGGGCTCACTGGAGCCCTGCTGTGCTCATTCCTGCAGGGATTGAGGAGAGGAGTCAACAAGGCAGGAGGGAAGCTGCCAGAAGTGCACAGCTCACTCCATGTTGTACACTTGCCTACCCCTGTTGAGGCTGGCAGGCACCCAGAGGCTGCAGAAACAGTGCCCTGCTGCTGTGTTTGTTTGCTACTGGGATGCTTCTGTGCCGACACAATTAGCTGGGGTTTCTTCCCTCCTCTTTAATGTATACAACTATACAAAAGAAAATATCTTATCTTAATGACAAGCTGAAAAGCTGACTCCACATTCGACTAACAGCTCTGCCTCTTTCCCAGCCAGTTCTGTGTTTGCTGGAAATCCTGCTTACCCTGCAGTTGGTCACAAAAAGTTCTTACTTATTTGATTGGTATGTTTGCTCCTTGTTTATCTGCCATTTTCCATGTTAATACTCAACAGCTAAGGCTTGGTGTGTCCCTGTGCATTGGATTTGCATGACCAGGTTTTGGTAATGAGGATGCTACAGGGATGACTTCTGTGAGAAGCTGCTGGAAGCTTCCTTCATGCCCAGCAGATCCAGTGCCAGGAGGCTCCAGGATGGAGGTGTCCCTCCCCAAGGCTGAGCCAGTTAGAAATGGTGCTAATTTCTCTGTGATAACAGATTTAAGGAAGGAAAAAAGTTATTGTGCAAATGTAATTACAGCCAGAGAAGAACAGAGTGACAATGTGTGAGAGAAACAGCCCTGCAGACACCAAGGTTGGTGAAGGAGGAACAGGAGTTGCTCCAGGGGCCAGAGCTGAGGTTCCCCTGCAGCCCCTGGTGCAGCCCACGGGGAGGCAGCTGTGCCCCTGCAGCCCATGGAGGGCCATGGGGATGCAGAGATCCAC